TCCATCAGGTGTGCATATGGTACAGTAAAAGACTTGGAAATTATTATAAGCTCAAACTGAATTAGAATGACTCACACAATGTTCTTTCTCCAAAGTTTATACAGTAATTGGAATTAATGTATAGAAAGTGCCAGTTACCTGGTAGGCACCCAATAAACAGTTATTACTGTAATCCTAACAGGATTCATGACTTATAAAAGATAGAAAACAACCCTGTCTTAGCAGTGGGTAATGATCAGAGCTCAGTTAGAATTTTAATCTTTCCTTTAAAAAAAAAAAAGTAAACTGAGAAGGGGTAAAGGGTGATAAAAACAAAAGTTTCAAAAGGTCTTCTAGTGGAGCTGAGACAGTGAAGAAGAAAGGCTAGTGGTCAGTCTAGTCCAGAGATGTTAACTGGAATGAGCTCTCCTCCAAGCCTTCAGACAATAGGAGCATAGGCAAGGAGCGCATGGCTTTACATCTCCCCTGTGAAGAATGCATGGCCTGGAGGAGGCTAAAGAATTTACCACTGACTTCTGTTTTTAAATGTCTTAGAAGATGTCGCTATCCTTGATTGGTAGAACAGAGAGGGTCTAGATAATGCCCAAAGATCCTTTCCAGGTATATAATGTCCAACTCTGTGAGTCATTTATAAAGATGAAAGTCCACATCAATGAAAAATATTTGTCTTTGTCAGTTCAGGTTGTTAAAACAAACTACCATAGACTGGGTGGTTGTAAACAATAGAAATTTACTTCTTGCAGTTTTGGAGGCCGGGAAATCTAAGATCAAGTTGCTGGCAGATCCAGCATCTGGTGAGGGCCCACTTCCTGGTTTGCAGATGGCCATCTTCTTGCTGAGAAGAGAGAGGAAGCAAGCTTTATTATATTCCTTCATATAAGGTCATTGATTCTAATTACCTCCCCAACGCCCTCCTAATACCATCACTTGGGAGTTAGAATTTCAGCATACGAATTTTGGAGGGACATAAACAGTCCATGACCATATTCATTAAAAATTTCTTATGCCCCTTGTAGAGCTGTCTTAGAAAATGTTAAATATGAAGGAAAAAATACACAGAGAAACAACTGTATGCCAAACACAAAGAAATCTGTCATTTATACATGTGCATTTAATAATAAGGTTATACAAACTGATCATATAATAGGTTCTGGAAGTTGAGAGATCAAAGTTGATTTGAGAGCTCTTACCAAAAGATGGTTTTATAGTTCGTGCGTGTGTGTGTGCGTGTGTGTGTGTGTGTGTGTGTGTTTTCAGAGAACTTTGAAACCTTCCTGATATTTATTTTGGCCACAGCAATCCGTATCTAAATAATGGCTGTTCTTTTAGTCTATGAGGTGTCTGTCCCCAGAGACTTCCTTTCCATATCTGTTTAAGTAATTTGCCAGGATTCTGTCTGCTAAGAAAATGAGAAACCTGGTGTACAACCTTTGCCTAGAAAAAATTGGCCAGATTCTGTTTCTTCAACTCTCAGACACCAAGAATAAAAAATATAATAGGAAGGGCCTTTAGGGCTCCTTGGACCCCCTCATTATGTAGATGAACAAATTTAGGTTGAAGGCCTTTGAGAGGTATGGTTTATGCAATAAGGAAGGAAGACCTTGACCCAACACTCAGATACCAATGAGTCCAAGGCTGGACAGCCTTGTTGAAAGAGAAGAGATGAGTATATCAATTTCACCTGAGGGGGAAACTAGACATTGCTATCGTATTGGTTACACTCTCAAATTAAAATACAATATGAACCCAAGAATGTAGGCTGGAAATTAGGCTATCACAGAACAAGATTGCAAACCTTCTCTTTTATGTTCTTATGCCAGACTGGAAGGCCCATGGTCCCACAGGTCACAAAAGAGAATTCTTCAAAAAACTAGAGAGTATATTCCCTGACCCATTTGGTTCCCCAGAGACTCATGCTTTCTCTTTCCTTTATGTCCAGGCTCCTGGACTTCTCAGAGTGTTATCTAGGTCAGGGTTTCTCAATACTTTTTTTTGTAATTTAATGTCTTTTTAAAATTTTAGTTGTGATAAATACATGTAACATAAAATCTACCATCTTAAACATTTTTAAGTGTACAGGTTAATAGCATTAAGCATAGTCACATCGTTGTACAATCATCACTCCCATCCATTCACAGAACTCCTTTGATCCCCACAAATGGAAACTCTGCTAATATGCTGAATTAATGAATTGCCATAGCCAATTATTCCCATCTCCCCACTGGCAACCACCAGTCTACTTTCTGTCTCTATGAATTTGACTACACCAGGGACCTCGTATAGGTGGAATCATATAGTATTTTTCCTTTTGTATCTGGTTTATTTCACTTAGCAAAATGTCTTGAAAGGTTCATCCATGTTGTAGCATGTGTCAGAAATTCTTTCCTTTTTAAAAAGGAATTTCCTTCCTTTTTATGACAATAATATTCCATTATTCACAACAGCTAAAAAGTAGAAGCAAAAATTCCAATTTTTCTGAGGAGTCACTTGGGCCGTGGGAGAGTGTGGTAAATCAATAAACATGACCATATTTATTGATTGCAGGGGGTAATCAATAAATACTGCCTGGCATTAACAGAGTGATTATGCTTCCTCCAAATGTTTTCTTCTATAAAGCTTCTTCATGCTCTTGTGCTGAAGCTTTGCCCAGCTCTTTAGACATAATACCTATGCAATAAGAAATTGTTGGTATGAATCAATGAATGAATGTGGAATAACACGAAGGATGGTTGGAATACATTTGCTGTGCATTTTCTGTATCTTCTTTCAGAAATACCACTAGCGATTTGTTCTTTCTCTTCTACAGATTTTAATTAAGATGTAAACCTCCAAAATGCAGAGTTTATATGTTTGCAAACTGAGTTCTCCCCCTCTCCCCACCCCCAGATCACACAGATTCTCTTTGCCTCTAATGCTGATCTCTCCCCAGGCAGCCTGGTACCATTATGATACTTTCCAGGCATTAAATGCCTATTTTGCGCCAGACACTATACTGGACATGTTGTCTTATTTAATTCTTACAATAATCCAGTGAGGTGCGTTATTGCATTATTACATCCCATGTTATAGAACAGAGAATCGAAGTCTCAGAGTTGCAAGTTGGCTCGAGGAGATTTTGCAGTGGGCCATGGCCTAGATTTCAGCTAGGTTGGCCGGCTCCAGAGCCACTTGCAGGAACCACTTTCAGTCTGTGGCCTGGTGCGGAGGGCACATGAAGCAGAGGTGATTTTAAGGGAGAAATCCTGTTTCTGCATGAAGGGCTGGTATTTCCCTGAAAGCCTATACAAGGGAAAGGCTTCCCTTCCTCCAGATCATAAAAGGACTGTGTCCCAGAGAGCTAGGGTAGAAGTAGGAGGAAGCCTGGTTATAGACAATGAGGAAGGGCACTGTTACTGCACAGTGATGGAGATCTTGGAAAGAGCCGAGGCTGCAGTCTGGGATTCATCTGACAGTCCAAGAAGCTGGCAGAAGTGAAAGGACAGCTTCCCAGCCCTGGCCCCCCTGCTCACCTCAGAGGGCCTTCTGCTGTTGGCAGAGTATATTTTGCTAAAGCAGTACTCACATGATCCAACCAAAGCATGTAAAATATTTAAGCCTCTGCCCTCAAGATTCCACCACAGAGAACTCCACCCCCACTTTGAGCTTCTTAAATAGCTGAAATAGACAAAGGGACAGGGAAGGTAGGGCTAGTGGACAGGTGACCAAACTTTGATACACATGCACGCACTCATCTTTCTATGTTAAAAAGGCCATCCCTGCTCTTAAAAATGAGGGCTTGGTCGGACTTAAAGCATTTCTTTAGAATAGTAAAGGTGTTGGTATATCATGATTAAGAGGTAACAAATCCTGGGTGCCTGGGTGGCTCGGTCATTAAGCGTCTGCCTTCGGCTCAGGTCACGGTCCCAGGGTCCTGGGATCGAGCCCCGCATCGGGCTCCCTGCTCCGAGGGAAGCTTGCTTCTCCCTCTCCCACTCCCTCTGCTTATGTTCCCTCTCTCACTGTCTCTCTCTCTCTCTCTCTGTCAAATAAATAAATAAAAATCTTTTAAAAATAAAAAAAAAAGAGGTAACAAATCCTGAATAGTAATCAGCCAGTCTGTGTGCTAAATGCCTAATAAAAATTGGATAACTATATAATTTAACAGTGATGCAGGGACGACAGGTGTAAACCAAAACATAGGATCACCCTGTAGAAGAATCAACTCTTTGAATCTTCATAACAACCCAAAAAAAGTAGACAGTATTAGAATCTCTCTTTTTGTAGATAAAGAAAGCGAGTCTCGGGGAGCTCACACAGATCGTGTGGCCCAGCCAGGATATTACCCTAGAGGTATCTGATTTGAAAGCACTCTTTCTTTACCACCACCTCTGACTGCAGACACCTGAGCTGCATTGTAGAGTAGACCCAGCACTGTTGGACCCCGTTCCTGGTTCAAAACACAAACAAATGAAATTCAAAGTGACCAGATGGCAGGAAACCCAGTGACTGGGGACTATTTCATTCAAAAATCTGTTTAACACTAAAGCTAGAGGATTGAGTTGGATTAATTGGCTTGTAGGAATGGGGGAAAGAGTGTTGTTCATTTGCTTTTGGATTTGGGGAGAGTAAAGAGAATAATAAGCAAGGTGAAAAAGAAAAACAACCAATAGTTGGGTAGAACTGTTAACCAAATAACTTCACTTCTTGAAATAATCTGATGCTAATTTCACAGAACCCGAGAAGTTATATACTCTGAAAACAAAGAGAATATTTTTTTAATGGATAAATACATAAAATACTGGTATTTATCATTTTGAAAATATAAATATATCATCCATTTGGCTGCAGGAAAAAAAATCATTTTTCTCCTGGGCCAATTGTAAAAATGGAGCGTCTCTGATTTTGTGAGTTTTGTTTTCCTATTGACAGTTTAGGCTATGACCCTCACCCCCAAAATTTACTGAGCACTTTACTATGTGGTAGGCACTGTTCTAAGCACTTTACTCGTATCATTCTCACAGCTCTCTGGAATGGTTGTCCCCATTTACAGATAAGGGAAATGATGCACAGAGAGGGTAAGTAACTTGCCCAGCGTCACACAGCTAGTGTGTGACAAAGCTGGAATTTGAACTCAGTTTGATTCCCGAACCCATGCTTTTAACCCCACTTTCATACATTCTCCATTCTGGCTATCAGACTTCAACATATTTTCAGAATACTGAATATTAATACATCTTTGAATAAGAGAACATCGTTTCTGAATTACATGCCCCCCTTGGGTGTACTTAGATGTTGGAAAATACCCTTGAATTAATAAATAATGTAATTAAGATCGTCATCTTATCTTAAATGTCTGGAGCATATCAATATTTTCATCTTCCCTTTCAAAATGTCCAAGGGGTGATCATTTTATTACATTTTGAAGTACAATTGAATTCTGTTGTTTTTCCTAATAATGACTATACTAATCATGCTAAATTGCCTCAGAGTGGGAACTATAGAGAGAAAACTCTTTCAGTGCCTTTGAAAATATTAAATTTGATGCACAAATTTCAAAGGAAAATGATCAATTAAAACTTGAGTATTTGTTTGGTTTGGTGGCGGGACTACGATCCCGTGCTGTCTGCAGGACCCATTTTGCGAGTTCTGGACTCCAGTGATTCAGAGCTGAAACCCTGTGGACTTCTTCAGACAGTGTCAGGATGTGGTATGCTTTGTGAGACTGTTAGTAAAACTGGATGGGTCAAAAATAAATCAATGCCATTGAGAGTTATACCGAGACAAAAAGCATTCAGAAGGATAGGAATGGAAATTTCTCTTCTTCCAGTTGTAAATAGATGTCTTTGTTGTTTTTTTATCCCTTCTGTTTAACATCCAAACTAGTATTGCCAGATAAAATACAAGGCACACAGTTGAATTTGAATTTCATAGCAAAAAGGAATAATTTTTTGGTATTAGTATATCTGATGCAATATTTGGGAATAATTTTTTTAGTATAAGTATGTCCCATGCAATATTTGGGACATTTATATTAAAAAATTATTCCTCTTTTACCTGAATTTCAAATTTAACTGGGCATCCTGTATTTTTATTTGCTAATTCTAGCAACCCTACCAAACACCATGTAAGTGTAGGTCCAGCTGGATTAATTTAAATCCATACTTTATCAAAGAATAGAAGATAGGCAAGGTGAAGAAGGGAGAGAAAAGAGAAAGGAGAAGAGAGAGAGAAGGTAAGAAGGAGTTCTGGCAATCTGCCAAGTAAAATAACGAACATTTTGCAAGAAAGAAATCCTAAAACTGAGGTCATAGGATGGAAAAAGTCTGTTTCACAGACTCTTTAGCCTGAACACTGGCCAAAAAAAAAAAAAAAAAAGCAGGCATCCTATTAACATCTGAATACCAAAGCTCATCCAGGAATGGAAAGATTTGGAATTTGAAGATCCTTAGCTTCCAGCTTTGTTAGAATACCACAATTTTTTATTAATTGCAAAGAGGATTTTGTTTTTTCAGTGAGATGCATAGGTAATTCGATATCAAAGAAAGGTAACTTCACTTTATGTTACTAACATGCATTTGAAACTTCGTGGATAACCCTTTGTTTGCTTGCCTCGCACTAAAATGCAAAAAAAAAAAAGATATATATATATATATATGTGTGTATATATATATATATATATATCAGATACCTGATATAGAGAAGAATTTACCTCTGTTTAAAAATCACACAGTTCTGCTGTGAAGCGTGAAGATGGCTTTTTTTTGAAAGTTAAAAAATATTAACTGACAGCTTCAAGACAGATTTTTTTTCTTTAATCTCTAACCAGACAAATTACTAGAAGCAAGAAACCTCTTGCCTTAATCTGGACACTTCACAGATGTGACACTGTTCTGTAGGAGATGGCTTTTTAACTGTGGATGGGGGAAAATAACCTTTGGAATTTTTAGGATGTTATTACAAGCAAGTTTACTAGTTTTTGACTTTCTAAGCCACAGCTGGAGCCAGCCTTCATCGGGGTAAGAATATTTTCATGCTACTATTCTATCTTTTGTATTTCAAGAGTAGGATTATTGCATTTGGGGGAGTATGGCCTTTGAGGCTTGTACTGTCTGTTGAATATGCAAATGTGAGTGTCCTATAAAAGGGGAGAGGAGCTGACAGTTTCCTTCTGTGCCATAAACTTAAATACTCCAACAGATGATACGTCCGGGCTGCTGGAGCAGGAATTGGATCACACCATCATGTGGGATAAAAGAAAATTTTGTATTTCTTTGAGAGGTATTAAAAGGGCTGGGCTTATGGCCTCCCTCAGAGCCAAGCAGCTGTGTGCCAGGCTTTCATTTCTGTAATTGTTGTATTGTTATTGTTGCTTAAAAAAAAAAAAAATCGACCAAACAGTACAAGGAATTTTATGGCCGAATTATGAATCTGCCTGACAGTATTTTCTTTTAGATTAGTGAAATAGGAACCATCATTGCTTTTTCTATCCTCTTTCCTCCATTCTGCATCTTTGTTTCTTTTATAAGATACACTGTGTCGTTAGTTCAGAGACTGAACAATGTTATTCCGTATATTTTCCCTTAAAGAGACTTCAAAAAATTTCAAAGCCAGGCTCTCTCCACAGAGCCACAGATGGCATCCCCGCAGGCCTGGCCGCCTGTGTAAATGCACTGAGAAGCCACAGAGAAACACATCAGTCCACCTGTGACAGCCAGGTTAGGAGCAGATGCCGTTTCGATAGGAGAAATGTCCAAAGGAAATTGTCAGGTGACCTAAGTAACAGAGAACCAATCGGTATGGTGAATTTCAGTATTCTATCCAACTAGTTACTGGGTTTTTTGGTTTTTTTCCCCCAATCCAGTCTCTTTACTGTGGTTCTTATCCAGGGTGCACATCGAATCATCTGGGGAGCTTTTTGAAATATGAATAGCTGTGCTCTGCAGAGTCTGTTAATTCGTGCCTGCCCCTGTGAATCTGATACACCTCCTTGGTTGGAAAACCATACTCAGGAGGGCCCAAACCCAGCTAACCTTCAGAATCACTGAAAGGGCTTTAAAATGCAGATTCCTGGGCCACTCCACCAGAGATTCTGATTTGGTGTGGCTGGGTTTGGGCCTAGAAATAGTATTTTGGATAAGTTTCACAATTAATTTTGATGATTAGTTAGACTTGGAAAACCACCTTTGCCCTAACTGGGTCATATTAATTTCAGCAAAAAAAAGGGGTTTTGATTAAAAAGAAAAATAATCTGGTCGTGAGTACATTACGTTTGGAGCAACACCCTATGTTTCCATTGTTTTCACCTTAAACATTTTCCTAGCTTTATCCCAGCCTGCTTCTCTCCCATCTCGGTAGAAGAAATGTCTGATCCTTTTCTCCTCTGGTGCCCCTCACCTCATCTCCTTCCTCCTATCTTGTTCTTTTCTTAGGTACTCTTCCTACCTGGGCCTGTAACCTGTTCATATTTTCCCAAACAAAACAACAGTCACATCCAACAACAATTGTAGCCACTCGCTCTCAAGGGTCCTCTTCCTAACCACCTGTCCACTACCTGTCTGCTACTTGTGGGACACCACTGGGCCAAACCAGTGGCCCTTTCTGAGTCTTTAATTCCCTTGATGTCTTTGCAGCCTATGACCCTGTTCATTGATCAAGCCCTCTTTGAACCATCTGTTCCTTGTCTGCCACCCTACGAGGGTTCAGTCTTTGGTCTGTTTCTTTTTCTCTACATCCTTCTCATGGTGATCTTTTCCATTCCCATAGCTTTAACTCTCATCTCTGTCCAGATACCTCTCAAATTGAGATCCCTAACTCTGATGTCTTCCTTGAGCTTCTAACCAGTCTTTCCTGCCATCTACTGAGACCCCAGATCCTACATATTCAAAATCTAATACTCCTCTCCATTCTTGCCCCCAGCTCTTACTTTTATATTGCCTACTTTTGCTAACAGTGACCTCCAGACTCAAAACCATGGTTTCTCCCCCCTTCCTTGGCCCCAACACTTGGTAACTTGCTATATCCTATCAAGCTCTATGCCCAGAGCTTCTTCTACATAATTCTTTTTCTGTAAGTCTCTATGGCCACCTGAGTTTAGGCCTTCCCTTTCTCCCTTCCCTGTCCTCTATAGAAACCTGATCTCTCTGCCCCCCAATTGCTTCATACCATCTCTACAAAGCTGCCAGATTAACTTATCTAAAGTACAGTTCTGGGGGTGCCTGGGTGGTGCAGTCAGTTAAGCGTCCGACTCTTTGTTTCAGCTCAGGTCATGATCTAAGGGTCATGGGATCGAGCCCTGTGCAGGGCTCTGAACTCAGCAGGGAGTCTGCTTGAGACCCTCTCTCCCTCTCTTTATGCCCCTCCCCCCAGATAAATAAATTTTAAAAAATACAGTTCTGATCATGCCACTTCTCTGCTCTAAAATGTTTGATAACGGGGCACCTGGGTGGCTCAGTTGGTTGGGCGGCTGCCTTCGGCTCAGGTCACGATCCTGGAGTCCCGGGATCGAGTCCCACATCGGGCTCCCTGCTTAGCTGGGGGTCTGCTTCTCCCTCTGACCCTCCCCCGTCTCATTCTCTCTCTCTCATTCTCTCTCTCAAATGGATAAATAAATAAAATCTTTAAAAAATAAAAAATAAAAAAAATAAAATGTTTGATAACTATGTACTACCAAAAATTAAGTTCAAATTCCAAACCTGGATTTTAGAATCTTTTGTGATCTTACCCTATTTCTTTCTCTAGCTTCATCTTCCACTATCTACCCTCAGTCCCCACATACCCAAAGCATGATCCAAACTGATACTTGCTATTCCTCTGTCATGCTCTGGGATCTTTCTTCTACCTACCTCTATTCATGCCATTCTCTCTGCTGAGAGTGCATTCTTCTAATTCTCCTGAGAGTCTCTCTTGGTTCTCACATGAGATCCTTTCCTACTTCTGTGATAATGCCACATGAGTTTCAAATTCTAGCTCAGTTTCTCTCTCTACCATTATACCAAATATATGGGTACCTGATTTTGCCCCTAATATATTTCCTCATAATATAATAAATATATTAGTAATAAATATATGATAGGCATATAAAATCACTACAAAATGAAAATTCACCTTAGTTATTGCCTGAACATTTTGAAATGTAGGTTAGTCAGGCATTAGCACAGTGACCTAGTAACATAGTACGTCTCATGGTCTAGAACTGTATACTTTAATCCACTGACTAGGTGAACCCAGGGGCTGGAAAAGCAAATAAAGGGCAAGAAACATGATTAGTTGCTTTGTTGGTTTTAATTTCTAGAATTCAGAGATAATATAGGAACCGAATTCTGAAAGTCGAGTGGCTCTCCATGGTGAAATCCAAACATTCCAATACCTAGTACTTCATTTTAACCAATTGCAACCAAAGACATGGCACAATGTATTGATGCTGACCTTCTTCCCAGGGCTTTTGTGTTACATCTGAGGTCTAAGCCAGAGTTGGTAGTTATATTCTTAGTTTTTTTTTTTAAATACATCTATAGACAAAGGGAGGGTGTGAGAAACCTGTAGGCCTGGTGCCTATGTCCGTAAGGTATTATTGGATGCAGTAATGGCTCTGAGACCTCAGAGTCACACTGGAAGTTCAGAGACCACAGGGCTTAAATATTTCAGACTTAAACTTCTAAAACTATTCCAAACCCAGGTGAACTGATGAAGATAGTTCTCACAGTGGAGAGGATAAAGAAACTTAAATGGAATTAAAGCTTCTACATTTTACTCAAAGTGGATACCAGTAGGCTGTGATAAGTGATCTTTGTGTGGCAATACTGAGAACAACCCTTCAGAAAACAATACAAGCAATATACTCAAAAACATTATAAATAAATCAAAATGGAACTCTAAAAAATGTTCAGGTAACCCACATGAAGGCAAGAAAAAAAAAGGAATGAGAAACAAAAGATAAAAACAGTAAGTAACTGACAATATGGCAGACTTAAACCCTAACATATCAATAATTACATTCAATGTAAATGTTCTAAATACACCAATCAAAATACAGAGATTGGTAGAGTGGATTTTTTGAAAATGATTCAACTACTTAGTGTCTACAAAAAACTCATTTCAAACACAATGGCTTACATAGGTTAAAAGCAAAGCTACCAGAAAGATACATCATGTAAAAATTAATTTAAAAAACTAAGAATGGCTATATTAATATTTTAAAAGTAGGTTTCAGAGCAAGGAAAATTACAAGGGACAAAGAGGGAAATTACATAATGATAAAAGGATCAATCCACCAAGGAGATATGCCAACCTGAAATGTATATTTAGAAACAAAAGCACTTCAAAATACATGATGCAAAAACTGATGGAGCTGAAAACATAAATAGACAAATCCACAGTTATAGTCAGAGATTGCAAAAACCCATTCTCAGCAATTAATAGACTACTAGACAGGAAATCAACAATGATTAGAGGAATTGAACAATACCATCAAGCAACAGGATCTAACTGACATTAATAGAACACTTCACCCCGCAACAGTTAGAACACACATTCTTTTCAAGTACCCATGGAACATTCACCAAGATAAACCTTATTCTGGGTCATAAAACAAACCTTAACATTAAAAGAATAGAAATCATATACAGTATATTCTCTGACCATAACAGAATCAAACTAAAAATAAATAACAGAAAGACAACAGGAAAATCGCCAAACACTTGGAAATTAAACAGCTTTCTTCTAAATAACCATAGGTCAAAGAGGAAATTTCAAAGGAAATTTATAATACACATAGAAATGATTGAAAATGAAAACATGACATATCAAAGTGTTATGGGATATAGCTAAAACAATATCAAGATGAAAATTTATAGCACTACATGCTTACATTAGAAATGAGAAAAGAGCTCAAATCAATTATCTAAGTCCTGCCTTAAGAAACTAGAGAAAGAAGAGCAAAATATACCCAACGCAAGCAGAAGAAAGGAAATAACAAGAATAAGAGCTAAAATTGATGGAACTGAAAACAGGAAAACAA